CCACTGCGAAAGTCTAATGAAGAATGGGTGGACTATGAAGTCATGCCACTGCTGAGTGCTGCTGTGCTGGACATATTAGAACTTCAGTATGAACTGGAGTCAAAGGCAGTTAAGTGGTATGCCACAATTGACATTGCTAATGCATTCTTTTCTATTCCTATAGCACCAGAATGCAGGCCACAGTTTGCTTTCACCTGGAGACATGATTGTCTTCTGAAAAATTTATTTAAACTCAGATTTTCTCTTACTCAGTGCTAGAGCTACTTTACTCTTGTCAGTCACGCAAAATACAAAGCAGCAACATGTTACCTCCTTTAATCCCTTTGTCATGTCTGCACCTGTTTTAAGAAGAAAAACCTGATTCTCCACAGATGAAGTGATCAAAAGAGAACAAATCATCATTCAGCAAGAGGGACTGGAGGGATCATGGGGTCCAACAACAATCATTCATTTTCTGTGAGCTCCTGAGGACATCCAAGCTTGTGATACTCTGTAAGAGTGACATATTGATAAATCAGAATGTAACCTTATAAAGTTTATCAATATGTCATGCTTTATCTATAGATAAATCCACTGAAGTTCAAAGCTACCTTGCATAGATTGTGAAGGAAACTATCATTTGTAGAATTTTTTCTGATTTCTGCAGAATGCTGGACATCAAACTACATAATTCATGCTATCAAGTCTCCTATTGTCTACTTTACAGTTCTCTTACCAAGAAGCTGGAAGAATTGTGTGCAAACTGCGTCCATAAATCTACAATTATAGTGTAAACAAATCCACACAGGGAGACAGAGCTTGTGTAAAGGAATAAATCCAAACTTTTCGAAGGTGCAAAATGCTTTTAATGTGGAAAACTGAAAAGTTTCTAGCTTTACTTCAACCTACAATACAAAAAAAAAAAAAAAAAAAAAAAAAAATCCAACTGGAAATATATTGAAGGAGTGGGGTTCATGTGAGTAAATATGCTGATACAATTGTGGTGAGTTGACACTGGCTGGGTGCCAGGCACCCACTAAAGCTGCTCTATCACTTCCCTTCCTAAACTAGACAGGGAAACAAAAATATAACAGCATGTTCGTGGGTCGAGATAAGAACAGGGAGATCACTCAGCAATTATTGTCACAGACAAAACAGACTTGACTTGGGGAAAAACATAATTTATTCCCAATCAAAGCAGAGAAGAGTAGTGAGAAATAAAAGCAGATCTTAAAACACCTTACCCCCACCCCTCCCTTCTTCCTGGGTTTAACTTTGTTCCCAATTTATCTACCCACTTCCCCTGAGTGGTGCAGGGGGATGAGGAATGGGGGCAACAGTCAGTTCATCATGTGTTGTTTCTGTCACTCCTTCCTCCTCAGAGGGAGGACTCCTCACACTCTTCCCTCACTCCAGCATGGGGTCCCTCCCATGGGAGACAGTCTTCCATGACTCTTCCAGTGCAAGTCCTTCCCATGGGCTACAGTTCTTCATGAGCTGCTCCAGAGTGGGTCACTTCCATAGGGTGTCGTCCCTCAGGAACAGACTGCTCCAGCGTGGGCCCCTTCATGGGCTAACAGGTTCTGCCAGCAAACCTGCTCCAGCTTGGGCTTCCCATGGGGTCGCAGACGCTGCGGGGAAGGAAATAGAGAAATCTTCTCTACTTTGATTGGTAATAAATTATGTTTTTCCCCAAGTTAAGTCTGTTTTGCCTGTGACAGTAATTGGTGAGTGACCTCCCTGTCCTTATCTCAACCCACGAACTTTTCATTATGTTTTCTCTCCCCTGTCCAGCTTAGGAGGGGGAGTGGTAGAGCAGCTTTGGTAGTTACCTGGCATCCAGCCAAAGCTACACTATCACTGCCTTCCTCAGCTGGATAGGGGAGTGAAAATGTAGCAACAGGCACATGAGTCAAGGTAAGGGCAGTTTAATAAAGCAAAAGCAGAGGCTGTGCATGGAAGCAAAGGGAAATAAAAGATTTCATTACTTCCCATCAGCAGGTGATGTCCAGCCACTTCCTAGGAAGCAGGGCTTCAATAGGTGTAGCAGTTGCTACGGATGACAAACGTAAAAACGAATGCCACCCACTGCCTCCTCTTTTCACCTAGCCTATATTGCTGAGCAGATGCCATATGGTATGGAATATCCCTTTGGTCAGCTTGGGTCAGCTGTCCTGGCTGTATCCCTTCTCAAGACCTTGCCCACCCCCATCCTACTGGGGAAATACTGGAGAGACAGCCTTGATGCTGTGTGAGCCCTCCTCAGCAGTAGTCAAAACCACTGGTGTTATCAACACCTTTCTAGCTACCACTACAAAGCACAGCACAATAAAGCTGCTATGGGAAAAATCAGTTCCGTCTCAGACAAACCCAATACAACAATGCATTTATGCAGTGGCCTATGATACTGGAGAGCTCATGGCTGCACTTTCTTAGATCTAGTTATATAAGTGAAGACACTCCAAAGCATAGACATCTCTGAAGACCTTAGATTGCCTAAAACACAACACTGGTGGGGAAAAATGACAGCAGAGCACACCCTCTGGAGAACAGAGATCAGCTGCAAACAATACATGATATCACTGTGGGAGAAGAAAGAAAGTTTGTTTTTAATGAATATTTTCTGAACTTCAATGGTTAAAACCTCCAGACCAAATCAAAAACCCCTCCAGGCAGCTTTTCTTAGAGGAAAAATGCCTCAATACTAAGTTGCTTAAAAGGTAATGTAAACAAGATACAAGTAGTGAATGTAGGAAAAAAGTGGCAAGGAATGGCAGTATATGGATACACAAATTACCTGCTTACTAGAAGACCCAGATAAATAGGTTGGAAAGTGAAAGTGCTTAGTACGAAAGTTTGATTTATGAAAAGAAGGACTTAATTGCCGTGTAAGCAATAAAGTTTTTAATGGAAGAAAAGGACAACTGATCTCATGACGTCACTGAAAATAACTTTTTTTTGGGGGGGTGGGGGGGTTAGAGGGCAGTGTACGTAGATGTTATTGCTTTTGCTTTGTGAGTGAAAAGAAGACTACTGAAATTTTTGAAGATGTCTTCCAGGGAAAAAAAAAAAAAAAAAGAAGGCATATAGGGAGGAGCATTTAGAGGACTAGGAATCTAGGAACAGCTGTGCTAACTCTGCTGAAAATTAGGCTCTGAAACATGAGGACAACACACATTTTCTAAAGCCACTGAAAATTATAACATCACAGTGTCTATATTAGAACGGTAACCATTTATGTATAGTCAATAATGCTATACAAAACAGAAAATACACCTTTTAGGAATAAAATTATCTTTACTGTATGATATTCATATATTTGATAAATTTGATATTCATCTCTTGCTTTGCAGATGTTGAATAGGACACCACAGTAGTGATATTACAAATGCTGTTTAATAAGTTGAGAATTATATTTATAAAAAATCAGACTTGGTGACTAAAACTATGTTAAAAGTGTCAGAGAAACAACTATGATAGTCCAGATTGCTCTATCAAAATTTTTAGAGGAAAATTTAGCTTTGTAAGGAATTCACTTCTAAGCTAAAAAATGTAAAAAATAGCTTGCTTAATTTAACAGAATATTGTTGTTTATCTGCTGCTTAAGAGCATTGTGTTCAATCTTGACATATGGTTGTTTTAGACACTTATGCACTTTAATCTCTTACTTGCTTTAGTCTGGCAAAATTCAGCTTGTCCAGAACAGATGCTCAAAAGAAGGAATACAGCAGACTTTAATGTGAAACACCTCAAAAGATATACTATCCCACTACTACGTATCGTACTGTTCCTGGTTCATTGTTGTGAAGTTCAGAATCTAAAGCCCTAAGGTACTTACTAAGTAAAAGTATCTGTGGCACTCTGATTGTCCATGTATTGTCGGTTGTCAATATAGGGAGCTGAAGTCATATATGCAAAACATATAGAAATATAGGCCACTGATGTTTTTCTAGATTTGTGACCTTGTCTTCAAAAAATGACTGATATATTTCTGCTTCAGCAGATTTAATTAAAAAAAAATAGAAAGGAAAAAAGATAACACGGATTTCATTTATACTCTCATACGAAGATAATTAACTGAACTAATCTAACAAATGTAACAGTATCCTAATATGAGTGAATATTTATTTGAAAGCTAATTAATGTTAATAATGTTACTAAGTTATAATTATAATTTACTTCTTGTAACTATAACATCTTACTGAAGAATAAAAAGCTAATTTTTGGTTTTGATTATTTGCAATAAAAGTTATTAATATTTACACATTAATATTACTTGGTGTAGATGAGAGAGATAACTTTTTACTCAAGCTCTTGATCTATCAAATAGTTATTCTGCGGGTAATTTGAAATCAATGGGGTTTATTATATGAATAAAGCTGCTTATATGTTCTTATGGAGGCATCCACAAAACAAGCAGAACAGTCACTCAGAACACCCCTGCAGACCTGAGCACGTGGAAAATATGGAACAATGTCTCCATGAAAGACTCAGGTCAGACTCTGCCATGAAGTACTTTATTTAGTGTTCTTGAAAAAGCAAGTGTCCTAGCTAGTAGGCACATCTGGTGAGCACATGATTTAGCTTTTTATTCCCTATTCCCATCCACAAGGTCCCTCCTTTTTTTCCCCCATAGATTAGGTACTCCAAGGTTCACATTCTATCCCAATCGCCTAATCAGCTTAGGCAAAGTTCTACCTCTGTTTATATCTCCCACTATTCTATTGTTACCTCCCAACCCCCTTTATTTGTTTTTTTTTTTCCCTTCTATGGTAAAATTTCAACCCTACTTGGCAGCTACTCAGTAGTTCATCCTAATCATTGACTACAAAGCCAGTTCTCACGGATTTTAATCCTGAGTCTTTTTGTTTTTTGTTCCTGCCACATCAGCTTTGAAAAACTGCAAAAACAACATTGATGTTTTCCACAGTCCCCCCTCTTCTTTTATTCTATGACTGTTGGTTTTTTTCTGTATTTAAGGTGTTATCCCATATGAGGCTTTCAGTTTAGACAACATCATTTCACACTCCTGATGATAATTCTTCTTGCCTCTCTTCTTGTTCTTCAAGAAGGAGCATTTTATCCTGATATGGTGGTGGTTCAAAAGGCATTTGTTTAGACAATGAAGTCTCTATTAATCATTGTACCAGTCCCCTGACACATGGAATTAGACAGCATCTGACAGCTGTTAATACTCCTGCAACTACTATCAGAGATGTAAAAACGGATTCTACTATTCCCTTCCATTTCCCAAACCACGGTTCTGGCCATCCTGTAAGAGAGCTACCTGTTCCTGAGTTCTCAACCAACCCTTCTGCCATCCTTGCAAGACCTTGTAATGCCTTTGTTATGGTTCCATCTGGTGCTGTGTTGTTTGGGATAAAGGTACAAAATTTGTCACCTAATGTTACACAAACTCCCCCTTTTTCTGCTAGTATCATATCTAAAGCTATTCTGGTTTCCCATGCCATTCTGCTGGTGGCATCTAGTTGCTCTGCAATTCCTTTACTGCATCCCTTGTATAATTTAGAAATAATTTTTGATTATAGTATATATAATTTATCCAATCCACATTCTTCTTTATTGTCACCCACCAAAATAAAAAAAAAATATTCAAAATCTGCTGCTACTTGATTTCTTGCTTTGTATTCATCAGGGACCCCACTAGGAACCCCAATTGAATCAATATAGATTCTTTCATCAGATACTACTCCCAGACTCCTTTTTGTTCTTTTTCCTAAGGTATCTGATTCTTTCTCAAATGCCAGGGTGAATGGGCTAGCTAATTGAACAAGGGCACATGTGCCTTTCCATTTTTGAGGGAGCACAGACCTTAGGACTTTTTCTCCACAATACCACCACAGATCTGCCCTGGGGATACTCATAGCTGAGTAGTTTCCTGCTTTGTCCTCAGTCAGATTCAATGACTCAGTACACATTTCTGTATTTCTCCAAGATACCTCGTAGAATTTACGCCCTGTTGTGAGACAAGTTGTATGGTTACTGACTACTGCAGAGAAAGCAGGAGGTGCTCTGACATCTTTGCTTCATAAAGCAGGAAATAACAATGAGAGAGACCTACAGGCCTCATTTCCCCATGCAGTCCTTTCTTGGTATAAGGCAATTATGCATTTCATTCCTTGTGGATCTTTACTCCGTCCTGATGGAAAGAGGGCCACTTGTACAGTAGATCTCCCTGAGGCACATGCATAGCAATTGCTCTAATTCAGGCTTTGTACTGTGTATTTAATCCATTCAACACAGGCATTTGTATCTATCTCCATATCCTGTTTCAAGTTCAAATGTCTGTGCTAGGTCCTTTACTTCAGTCACCATTACTATCTTTGGATCATTTGGTGGGCTCCATTGTTCCATTTTGGGCATCATAGTGGTATGTCCTGTCTTTTTACTTTGACTAGTCATTTGTTTCCACACTACTATTCTAAGCCTGGCAACAGGATCTGTTCCGCTTATATTTGCTTCAAATCCGTAAGTTCTGTTAACTTCCTCATCAGCTTCTTTAATGATAAGCATTATGGGATTACATTCAAAATTTTGACGATTGGGCTCTGCAGATCCTTTGAACATATTAAGCTTAACTTTCAGGGTTTTCCCTATAGCATAGAGGGCAATCCATCCATTAAAAACAGTTGTAAACCAAACATTGCTCCACCCCTCACAGGGCAGCCCCATATCTACTCACCCATGATTTTCCAGGCACAAATACTTATCCTGGCCACTAAATTTTGTCATATTGTCTAAATCTCCACACTTTAGTGCTTGAAAAGAGTCAAATTTTATCATTTGTGGAACTCTCCCCTCAGTCACATTTATCCATAGCTTAACTGTATGTCCTGTCACCCCCTTCCATTCATCCTCAGATTTCAAATCTATCCCCTGAATTCCTAATAGACTACAACACACTATTATGAAGATCTCCATCATTTTCGCCAAATAGCTCTTTTTTCTTCTCTCATGTCCCCAGAATGTATGTTTTTCTAAACAACAAACACATGTTAATCTGATGAAAATCACAAACAAAATCTCTGCTACCACTGCCTCATTAACAACATCTAAAATTGTTCTCTTTTTTTTTTTCTCTTTTTTTTTTTTTTTCTGTTATATACTTACTGTTTCCTTAATTTAAGGCACAAGGGGGTTTTGGTTGCCATTGTTCACCCCTGAGTGGAGGGTCCACCCATCCCTTGAGTTTGGTATGATGAGTGCAGCCTTTCTCAGCCTTTCTTACTGATGTCTCTGTGGCCAGTAATACCTGGAATGGGCCCTCCCATTCAGGTTGTAGTTTGGTCTCTTTTCAGGACTTGATCAAAACCCACTCTCTAGGCTGGATGATGTGGACTGCAAACTCAAGAGGTGGTGTTTGGGCCAAAAGCCCTTTATTCCTGATAAAAAAACAAAGAAGAAGACAACCCCAGTATATAATTGTTGAGGAAAAGTCCTTTGGTTTCAAACAGGAGAAAGTCACAGAATCACAGAACGGTAGGAGTTGGAAGGGTCCTCTGGAGATCATCTAGTGCAACTCCCCTGCCAAAGCAGGTTAGCCTAGAGCAGGTCACACAGGACCACGTCCAGATAGGTTTTGAATGCCTCCAGGGAAGGAGACTCCACAACCTCTCTGGGCAGCCTGTTCCAGCGCTCTGCCACTCTCAGAGTAAAGAAGTTCCTCCTCATATTCAAGCAGAACTTCCTGTGTTCCTGCTGGTGCCCATTGCCCCTTGTCCTGTCGCTGGGCACCACTGAGAAGAGCCTGGTCCCATCCTTTGACACATGCTCTTTAGATATTTATGAGTGTTGGCCCCTCTCAGTCTTCTCTTCTCCAGGCTAAAGAGCCCCAGGTCTCTCAGTCTTTCCTTATAAGAGAGATGGTCCAGCCCCCTAATCATCTTAGCAGCCCTCCACTGGACTCTCTCCAGTAGCTCCCTGTCTCTCTTGAATTGGGGGGCCCAGAACTGGACACAGTACTCCAGGTGTGGCCTTACGAGGGCAGAGTAGACGGGGAAGATAACTTCCTTTGACCTGCAGGCCACACTCTTCTTAATGCAATCCAGGATGTCATTGGCCTTCTTGGCCATGAGGGCACAATGGTGGCTCATGGTCATCACATTATCCACCAAAACTCCCAGATCCCTCTCTGGAGAGCTACTCTCAAGCAGGTTGACCCCCAACCTGTACTGGTGTATGGCGTTATTCCTCACCAGGTGCAGGACCCTACACTTGCCCCAGTTAAACTTCATTTGGTTCCTCTCTGCTCAGCTCTCCAGCCTGTCCAGATCTTGCCGAATGGCAGCACAGCCTTCCGCTGTATCTGCCACGCCCCCCAGCTTCGTATCATCAGCAAATTTGCTGAGGATACACTCTGTCTTTTCATCTAGGTCATTGATGAACATATTGAATAAGACAGGCCCTAATACTGACCCCTGGGGAATGTCACTAGTTACAGGCCTCTGACTGGACTAAGCACCACTGGTCACAATCCTCTGAGCTCTGTCCTTCAGCCAGTTCTCAACCCATCTCACTGTCCACTCATCTAACCCACACTTCCTAAGCATACCTATGAGGATTTGATGGGAGACAGTGTCAAAGGCCTTACTAATGTCAAGGTAGACCACATCCACAACCCTCCCCTCATCCACTCAGCCAGTCATTTTATCATAGAAGGCTGTCAGATTGGTCAAGCACAATTTTGGCTTAGTGAATCCATGCTGACTACACCTGATAATCTTCTTTTCCTCCATGTATTTGGAGATAACAACCAGAATGAGCTGTTCCATCACCTTCCCAGGAATGGAGGTGAGGCTGACTGGCCAGTAGTTTCCCGGGTCCTCCTTCTTGCCCTTCTTGAAGATTAGAGTTACATTGGCTATCCTTCAGTCCTTGGGCACCTCTCCTGTCCTCCACAACCTTTCAAAGATGAAGGAAAGCAGCTTTGCAATGGCATCCACTAGCTCCCTCAACTCTTGTGTGTGCATCCCATGAGGGCCCATGGATCTGTGGGTTTCTAGTTTCCTAAAAGATCCCTAACCCAATCCTCCTCAACCAAGGGGTATTCATCCTTTCTTCTGACTTCTTTCCCTGCTGTCAGAGGCAAGGATTCCTGAGAGCCAGCTTTATACTGAAGACTGAGGCAAAGAGGACATTCAATAACTCTGCCTTCTCCATATCCTACATCACCAGAGTACCCTCCTCATTCAGCTATGGGCCCACATTTTCCCTGATCTTTCTTTTACTACCAGTGTATTTGAAGAAACCCTTCTTGGTTTTTTTTTTTTTACATCTTTGGCTAGATTTATTTCCAAGTGGGCCTTAGCTTTCCTTGTTACATCTCTGCATTCTCTGGCAGTGTTTCTATATTCCTCCCAAGTGACTATCCCATTTTTCCACCCATTGTAAATTTCTTTCTTCCCTTTGATTTTTTCCAGAAGCTCCTTGCTTATCCAAGCAGGCCTCCTGCCTCCTTTGCTCGACTTCTTCCTCATAGGAATGCACCAATCTTGAGCTTGGAGGAAGTGCAGCTTGAATAGCAACCAGCTTTCTTGAGCCCCTCTACCTTCTAGAACCCTAGCCCATGGGATTCCTCCCAGTAGGTTTTTCAGGAGGCTGAAGCCGGCTCTCTTTAAGTCCAGAGCCGCAATCCTGCTTCTTCCACACAGGGCACTGAACTCCACCATCTTGTGGTCACTACAGCCAAGGCTGCCCCCAACCTTCACATCTTCAGCCAGGTCTTCTTTATTTGTCAGTACAAGGTTGAGCAGCACCCCTCTCTTCATTGGTTCCTCCACCACCTGTGTGAAAAAGTTATCATCAATGCTCTATAGGAACCTCTTGGACTGTGGGTGCTTGGCTGTGTTGTTTTCCAGCAAATATCAGGGTAGTTGAAGTCCTCCATGAGAACCAGAGCCTGTGATTGTGAGGCTACTTTCAGCTGGCTGTAGAAGGCCTCATCGACTTCCTCCTCCTGGTCAGGTGGCCTGTAGTAAACACCCACAATAGGGTCACCCATGTTAGCTTTCCCTTTAAGTCTCATCCATAAGCTCTTGACTTGTTCCTCCTCCTCCCCTAGGCAAAGCTCGATACATTCCAGATCCTTTTTCACATAAAGGGCAACTCCTCCACCTTGTCTGGTTGGTCCGTCTTTCCTAAAAAGCACATAGCCATCAATGACAGTATTCTGGTCATGTGAGCTATCCCACTATGTCTCCGTTATTGCTACGAGATCGTGACCCTGCAACAGCGCTGAGATCTCTAACTCTTCCTGTTTTTTCCCCATGCTGTGTGTGTTGGTGTACAAGCATTTTAGGGAGGTAATTGAGCATGCAGGTTTCCCTAGAGAGTGGAAGAGGCTGTACCATAGCTATACATGCCCTTGAGGCAGTTTGCCTTCTGATTTTCTTCTGGAGAGGCAACTAAGAGACACTTGCTACTGCTCCGCTTGGCCTGGTCTATTCCCCAGTCTAATGCAATGGCATGGGCATTGCCATTCCCGGACACAATCAGTTTAAAGCCCTACTTATCAAGTTGGCCAGCCTTTTACTAAAGATACCCTTGCTTTTGCAGGACAAGTGAATTCCATTCCTCCCTAATAGGTTAATGTTGAAGGATGCCCCATTGTCATAAAAACCAAAACCCTCATGATGGCATCAGCCACGTAACCAAGAGTTGATATGCATTATCCATTGATTTGTGGCTGCCTTTTTTCCCCTAACTGGTAAAATGGAGGAAAATATAACTTGGGCACCCAAATTTTTCACTGTTGACCCCAGAACTTTGTAGTGTTCTTTGATTCTACACAGGTTGTGACTTGTTATATCATTCATGCCCACATGAAGGAGTAACAGTGGGTAGTAGTCCATGCTCTTGACAAGCTGCGGTACCTTCTCAGCTACATCTCAGATCTTAGCTCCTGGAAGGCAGCATACCT